TTGTGTGTGTGTGTGTGTGTGTGTATGTGTGGTGTGGCGGGGGCCAAAGTGAAGTCCCTCCGTCTTCTCCTTTATGGGGGTGGGGACTCACTCGGGAAGCTGTCCCCCGCCCCCCAGACACACTGGGCTTTTCTAGTCTGTGTGTCAAAGGAAATTGGATTGTACTGAAAAGCATTTAATCTGAGCTCAGGAGCAGCACCCTGATAGAGTCTCAGAACTGGGGGAGGAACCCTGTGTAGTGGGGTTAGTTTTGCTCTTAGCTCTAGACAAGAGGGGCTCCAGCCCTGGGCCCCTGTGTTAGAGGGCCCTGCTCTGGTCCTCCTAGGGATGCAACATTTCCCCTGGGTGAGGAGTTGTTGGGGCCAAGGGGGCGTGCCCACCCAGAGCCTGCACCCCTTTAGAACAAGCCCATCCTGGGTACCTGACCAAGACTTCCCTCCTGCTGCACTTTCTGTGCTCCTGAAGGTGGCGATGTACTCTTAGGCACTTGAAAGATCCCATAAAGTCTCATGGTTGTGGGACTGAATGTGAGCTGGGATGAGAAGGGGACAGGAAGGGACAGTGACCTGGAGATGGGAGCTGCCCTCCATGTTGTCAGGGTCCTGCGTGAAATGGAAGATTCCTTTTGAGATTTTTTTTTCATCCAGTGCATTTAAGGGCAGAGGGATAGAAGCTATTTCATAGCTTCAACCTGATTTGTTAACTTTAAATTATTTGGAGTTTAGACATCTGGTGTGTGGGCCCTTCTGCTTACTCTCTAATGTTCTGGGTGGGCCGGGGAGGGCCACAGAGTGTCTTGGTGTTTACTAGGAAACTGAGGCTGCCCTTCTTCCCAGGTGGGTTGGGAGAACATGAGTCAAACCCCAATCTCCACTTGTGAATCACCCAGCTTGGTCCAGGCTGCCTCAACCTGGGGTTCCTGGGGCTTGCCAGTGGCCCCAGGGGTTTAGTCAGCCATCAGCAGCTTCCCCACCTGTAAAGCAGGGCTGGTAATGATACACTCCTCATCAGGTTGACACCAAAATTAAATGCAACTGGGCTGAGTGCAGTGGCACACGCCTGTAATCCCAGCAGCTTGGGAGGCTGAGGCAGGAGGATCTTGAGTTCAAAGTCAGCTTCAGCAAAAAACGAGGTGCTAAGCAACTCAGTGAGACCCCATCTCTAAATAAAATACAAAATAGGGCTGGGGATGTGGCTCAGTGGCTGAGTACCCCTGAGTTCAATTCCTGGTATGTATGTATGTATGTATGTATAAATAAATAAATAAATGAAATTGGGACTAGAATTATGGGATGCAGAGCAAGAGCTAAAGAAACAGGGACAGTTATATTTAGTAGTTAGGAGGGCCCAGGATGGGGTGGGTGGACAGGTTGCAGAAGGGACCAGCCCCACTGCCTAGGATGGTGATCTCTCCCCCAGCTGACCTGAGCCCTCAGCAGTTGATGACCGCACCCTTTGGGCCTTATTTACTGAGGACATCATACTCCTGCCACTGCTGGTGAGTCAAGGGCTGGGACCAGGCTGTGCTGGCCATCTCCACAAGAGGTAGCACCAGGAGGTTGTCCACCCCTGTGTGCCTGATTCTCCTGATTAGAGGAGGAAGCCATCAGGCCGGTACCCTCACCCACAGACGGCAGCTCAGCCATAGGCTCAGAGAGAGGGGGAAGGTTCCGCCGGGTGACTCCCAGACCAGGGTCAAGCTATTAATTTTCTACCCTGCCCTATCGCCGGTCTCTCCCCACCCCCCCTCTCTTAGCCATGTCTTTAGAGAGTGTGGGGCCAAGGCCCTGATTTGGCCAACTCACTACCCCACCTGCCCCTTCAGTTCTGCCTTTAAGATGTTCTCGCTCCTCTCTGGAGGGGGTATTCTCTCCATTTTATAGATAAAGAAACTGAAGTCTAGAAGGAACTATAGTGCCTTTTAGTGAGACCCCAGGCCAGGCCTAAGAAAGAGATATGTGTACACACACATACACACGCACACACACACACACAATTTCTGCTCAGTTGATCAACAGGTTCCTTTTGCAGGAACAAGTTCACCTACATTTTCCCGCTACTAAAAAAATCAAATGTCTATCATATTTTCATACTAACGTTAATGTTCAGCTGGCTTCTCTCTCTCTCTCTCTCTCTCTCTCTCTCTCTCTCTCTCTCTTCATAGTGACATCTGCAAAGTCCCCAGGACAAGACTGGGTGGGAGTGGCATTAGGTATACCCCGGCTACATTTTCACAGTCCCACGTGCACAGGGTGCCCCCTCCTGACCACGGACTCCTCTTACTTCTTATGTTTCTCTTCTGCTGACCCTGGGCTCCTTGAGGACAGGGACTCTTTTATGGAATTATCTTTATGTAATTATCACTTATCTTGGGGATGAGCTTCTGGAGAGGGGGGTCAGAGAGAGAGGGTAGGGTGAGTTGTTCTGCCACCCCTCATCCTCGTCAGTCTTGAAGGACTTCATGAATATGTTGACTATGAAGAAGATTCCTGAAATGTGGACAGCCCTTCAAGTTTCCAGTGTACTGTCGCTGATTCTCTTTTGCAAAGCCTCAAGAGAAATAAGAGGGATCATTCCCTTCACTTAACAATGAGGAGATAGGATCCGAGCAGTGGAGTAATTTCTCTAAGGACACACAGCTCGTGAGTGATGAAAACAGGACATCAACCTGCTAAAGCCGCATAATGAGTGTGTGTGGTGGGGTGGTCTATAGGGTGAGGAAATGAGACCTGGCACTTAGAAGGTGCTCACAAAGGTGGCCGAATGGATGAGCGGGTGTACATGCTAGACTTTGTGGGGGGGGCGGGTCCATGCAGGTGAAAAGTCTTGACATTTCTGCTCCCTGTGCTTATCTGTGCTCTTCTTAGCCCATTGAGCATTGCTCATATTGGCTCAAGTTCTCTCCCGCGTGGCCCTTGGGGATGATGCCCCTTTCTCACCAGCCTCCCTGGACTGTCTCATGTCCCCAGGCCTCTGCAGGCTCCTCCCCAGGTAAACAGTGGGTTGCTCCGGGGAAGGGTGCCCCTCCCTCTCCAGGGTCACCCCCACTGTCCCCAGGGCCCAGGGCAAGAGCATAAATGTAGGTTCCCTGCACCTGTCCTCCTCAGGTAGCCATCCTTGGGCCTCAGGGTGCACCCGGTAAAAGCAGCTGACCCTGGCAGGAGGGGACACATGTGGAACCCTGCGAAGCCCTCAGTCAGCACAGGATCAGGCCTATCAGGGCAGAAGAGTCTGGGGTCATAGGTGCCCAGAGAATAGTCTAGAAGCGGGGGCTTGGGCTCTGGGGCACTTTGCCCTGGCCAGCAGGGCAGAGAGCAGCTGGAGGAAGGGCACTGTGGCCCTCTGGGTGGGCCTGAGGATGACACTGCAGCCCACTCCTGTCTAATGCCTGTTCCGGGGCCTCCAGGCTCTGGCCCTGGGTCAAGGCCACTTGCCCCTCTGGCCAAGTGTCAGCAGCTGGTGGCTTTCCTGACTGGGCAGTATGGGGCTCCCCACCAGCTCCAGGGGTGGGAGGCGAGTGGGCCTATCAAGTGGGGGAGGGGAGCTGGCCAGCGGGGGCTCGCTAGCCGCTCGCTCGGATACATGGAGAGACAATAAATCGACAAACACTTAATCTCTCTGCAAATTGAAACGGAGCCGTAAATATCTGCTGCATCCCGGCAGCTGAGTTATGAGTCTCGTTTATTAATCTCTTTAGTCCCAGGTGATGGATGGAGGAGGAGAATGGCCCGCCTGAGACGCAGGGGGAGGGTGAGGAGGAGGAGGAGGAGTGGGTCAGGGGTCTGGGAAGAGCCCTTTTGGAGAAAGGGTCAGAGGGACAGGCCTGGGGGGTTTGTGTTTTTCTCTGTTTATTCTTGGCCTCCAGGGGCCCCAGGAAACCAGCAGCTATGAATAAGCCTCTTGCCCTTTACAGTTTCCAAAGCATCGCCATCCACTCTCTTGTTAACTCTTCCTATGGCCTCAAGAGGTAGGCAGGAAGATAGTATTCCCTGCACTTAAGGAGGAGGAGCAGGATCAGAGAGGTAGAGTGATTTCTCCGAGGTCACACAGAACTTTGGGAATGGGACTCAAAGCTGATAGAGCTGTAAGGATGAGAGAAGGTGTCTCTAGGGGGCTGTGTGGGGAACATGTGTGGAATGGGAACCTCATCTCTTCCTTTCCAGCTTTCTCCCCTCCCTCTCCGTTCCTTAAATGCTGGGTAAGCACTCTGTGTGTGTCGAAGTGGAGGAGGAAAAGGACAGAGCTGGGGGAGGGACAGGAAGGGGAAGAGTGCTGGTGAGGGCTCTCAGCTGGCTTGGGACTGACTGTGAAGGCTCACTCGGATATATTTTTAGAATCCCCTCCCCCAGCATCAGCCTGCAGGCTCCTGGCTCAGGGGCAGCAGGAGTGCAGGGGAGGAGGGGGCGCTGGAGCCCTGGGGTCACCTTCCGCCTGCAGGCGCTGGGCCTGGCAGGGCAGGAGTGTGGAGGATGGGGCTGGTCTTTGTGAGCATACAGTGCCATAGGTGGGCCTTGGGGTGACCAGAACCCGGTGCTTGTACAGGCAACTGAGGGCGGATGGGCCAGGCAAACGGGGGGCCATGAAGCCTGGGCAGGGGAGGCGAGGATGGTGTGGGGGCAGGAGGGGTGGGTGAGGGGTGTTTGGGGACTGACTGTGGCTGTGTTGGTGGCCTGAAGGGGATGCTGAGTCAGGGCCATCTGTCAGGAGGCTGCTGAGGAGGGCACCAGATGGCTCTGCTCCATCTCTCTCTCTGTCTTTCGTACTTTCTGCCTCTGGTGGTTCTGGAGAATCTGGGTCCCTGGGGGGCTCATGCTCCCAGCCCTGGGGGACCTGCCTCCAGGCTGGGCTCAGTGCCTGAGCTCTGGCCCCATGGAGGCCCGCCCACTCGGGCATGTGGCCAGCCCCAGGCCACCTGGGCTCTCAGGTCCTCACTCAGGCTGATGCTCCTGCTACTCATTTCCGCTGATGTGGACACTGGCCGGGGGAGTGCTGGTCCTCTCTCTAGTGAGTACTGCCCACTGCTGCTGAAGGCCCCAGCTCAGGATGTGTCACCGGCCACCAGGTGGTGCTCAGGTTGCTGAGGCTGGCTGGTCTCTGTCAGCCTCCAGAGTCTGCAGACCTCACCCTGGGTGGGGGCCTGGGGGCAGGACCAAGGCTCGGTCACAGCGCAAGAGCCTCAGGGGACTTGGGCACATCTGCTCCAACCTCCTCTGCAGACTGAGGCAGGAACTGCATCCCCCAAGAGGGGAAGAGAGTTCAAGGTCACTCCAAGGAAAATGGAAACCTGTGAGTACAGGGCACAGCATGGAGCTGTGTGGGTCCCGCAGAGGCTTGTGCCCTGTGGCTGTGGGTGCTATGGGTGGCAGCCTTGAATGCCACAGGGGGCTTTCCATGCCACAGTGGGTGATCCCCTGCTGGGTTTGCCAAGGGCAAACACAGATAGTTGGTCGCCCTAAGGCCATGCCAAGAAGATACGGAGGTCTAGGCCAGCTTCCCTTTGAAGGCCCCTCACCTGTCCTGATGGATCCTGAGGGGCAGACAGGGCAGGGCGAGCGGTTCTCCTGTATCACAGATGGAAAAATCAAGGTGCAGGGACACTTAGCGCTCCAAGCACCCTGGGACAGAGCAGCAGATCTCTGCCTGCCTGAGAGGGAAGGGGCCCTGGGTGGCAGGCCTGCCCTCCTGGGGCCCAAGCCCTGCCTCTGCTGCTGGGGGGATGTGGGAGAAGCCACAGCTCTCTAGTCTTCTCTGTGTCCATGAAATGGGGTCCTCTGAGAGCTGAAAGCCACCTACTACCTTCAGGGGCAGGTTAAATGGGGTGGGGGCAGCAGGGGAAGTGCACTTGAAGAGTCCAGGGGAGCCAGGGAGGGATCCTTGTAGGGTCCACAGACTCCAGAAAGGAAACAAAAGCCTTTGCTCAGAGGGGGACAGGGATGGGGGAATGGGGGGATGGGGGGATGGGAAGAGGGAGGTGGGGGAGGGGGGCTTTCAAAGAGAGAATGAAAGAAATGAGTTATTCAAGTGTAGGGAGGTTGGAAAAACTCCACTGAATCTTTAAACAACCCTTGTCAATTATTCATCTCCTGGTATGAGGGCCCTCTGGTCTGCCACAAATCTCCTCTGAGCACGACTGTGGGAGGGAGGGAAAGAGCGAGGAGAGGGGATTTCAGAGAGAAATGGGGACAACCAGAGAAAGGAGAGAGACACAGAAACAGCAGGTGGAGTAGTGTGTGTGTTGGGGGGTGGGCGGAGAGAGAGAGAGGAAGAGAGAGAGGGGGGCGGGAGACAGGAGGGCAACCCATGCTTGAGTTTCTGGACTGGAAACGACACTAAGTGCATACTTCTTGAATAGCCACTGAGCCTCTGCCTCTGCTGATCCAAAGCAATGCCCGCCTCCTCCAGGAAGCTCTCCTTGCTTTCCTCTGTCTCTCTGCCTCTTCTTTACTAAGGGCATACTAGTGGGCCCAGCAGTGCTAGGTATGTGTGGCTGTTAAGAAGGTACACTGTCCCAGTCAGGCCCTGGCCTGCTCATCAGATAACTTCCTGGGCCTCTCCTCGGTGTGGCTGAGGCTAATGTTCTGGGGAGATGTCTCAGAAGTTCCTGGGGAACTTCCAGTGCTCAGGGGCTCAGCCTGCCCCTCCTCCATGCCCTCCCTTCCCTGCTGGTCACAGGCTGGGCGCTGGCAGGTGGGGAGTTCTGGTTTTCTGACTGACTGGAGGAACAGGGAGCCCAGACCCTTGGTAGGTATTTCCTAAGCCTTTGTGAGTGGAACCGGCCGACTGGAGACTGGACAGAACCCCCCAGCTCACCTGCTGTTGCCCTGGCATTGGGAGACCTGATTTGGCTCAGCACAGGGTGGGCTGGGGTGTCTGTGGTAGGGTGGGGAGGGGCTCCCAAGACGGGTGTAGTGAGTTGCTGCGTGGGTTTAGCCCTGAACACCTTGCCCTTGACATTCACTTACTTAGTCATGCTCATGGGTGTCCCACAGTTGTCCCACTCAGAGGAGGTGAGGGCATTCCCTTAGCGCTCTCTGCCCTTGGGCCCTACCCTCGACCTCAGTGGGCTCACTCACCCAGGTCCAGCTTGGCACCACATTGGTAAATCGGCACTTGAACTTTCTGTGTTAAACCCAGGAGTCTGGAGATTGCAAATAATGGCTGCGTTTGGTGGGGAGCCCCAGTCAGCCCAGTGGGCTGTGGGTATGGGACTGGCAGCCCAGAGGGCAGAGGGAGTGACCCAAGGGGCATAACAGCATCCCCCACTCCCTCCTCCATTCCCAACGTACTCCTTTCTCCAGAAAAATGTTCAATTTCTTATTAAGCCAAAGTAGGCTCTGGAGGGAATCGCAGACAAAATTGTTTCCTGGGCTCTGGGGACTGCACTGAAACTCGACCTAGACAAAGGCGCTGGGAATTCTGCCAGGTGATTCGGGGAGGGTGACAGCTAAGCCGAGAGCCAAGGGGGTTACCTGGGTCATTGTTTGGTCACTACTTTATTGCTGCTGTGTCATGGAGCCACTGCTTCACTCACAGGCTCTATTGCTGGTGGTCATTTCCGGACACAAGGAGTCGCATGCCTTGTAACTGGGCCATTGCTACCTGAGTGTGTCCCAGGGCTCTTCAAGATCTTCTGTTGCCTTATTATCACGTCTATGGCTTACACACAGGTTCTATGCTCATGGCTGGATCACAATTGCATCTTCCCACAATGCAGTGCCACATGACATCATTCTGTGACTGGGGTCTATTGCTAGGCAGCTATGCTCCTGTGATCCATGGCCACATTCTATTGCTTGTCACTGTGCCTCTTGGTCACATGAGTTCATCCATTGCTATGCAATTTTATTTGGTTGCTATGGAACAGTGACCCATTCTGCAGGGCCACCTGTGATTGTCATGGAGCTGTACACTGTTGCTACCCACCCACATTCTATGGCTTGTGACCAGGTTTTACCAGCTGCATGAATGTGTGTGTCTAGGTCCTGCCTTGATTCTTTTGGGCTCTGGCCTGTGTGTAGGAGCTGGAGTTGGGGCTGGGTGTCTAGGACCCAGCTAGGGCATATACTAGGGATGGGAAGAGCCAGCCTGGTAACTAAGGTGGGGCTGGGTGAGGGGCAGGAGAGGAGGAGGAAGGGAAAGAGGAAGAAAAAGAGGAGGGTGAGAAGGTCAAGGACAGAACCAAGACACAGGAGGGGCCTGGAACGGTGGGTATGGGCAAGGGAGGGGATGAGGCTACTGCCCTGAATACTCTGTGAGTGTCTGAGGGACCCAACAGTGCCAGGTTGGCTGAGCATGTGGACCCCTGTGGCCATCCAGTGTTTCCCTGGCTAGATGCAAGGTGGCATGGGGGAGGGGTGAGATCAGGAAACCTTGGGCAGGTGTCGTTCCACCCCTGGACCACCTAGTTTCCACCTTTGGTAAAATGAAGGGATGGGCTAGCAACTCTCTAAGGTTCCTTCTAGTGCTCTGACGTCCAGCCAGGGGTCCCAATAAGCATTTGCCAACATCTGTGTCAGGCCAGGCCTCGGCAGAACCCTAGAGCCCAGGAACAAGGCCAGTATGCACTAACTTAGTTCAAGGCCAGATGGTGGGCAGCCCAACAGCCATCCATCAGCCTCACCAGGAATCCAGCAAGAGGGAGGGAAGGGATTGGGAGGCCTTCTCTCTGGGTATATGGTCTGTGGATGGCAGTGCCAGAGGTGCTGTCTCTGGTGGACATGCTTGAGTTATCCACCATTAGGCCAAACTCACAGCATCTCTAACGGTCTGCGAGCATGGGCAGCCCAAGTCCCTCATTGTCACCTGAGCTTCCCAGAATCCTGTCTTGGTGCCCCTTGTGCATACCCTTCCCTCCTCCTTTCTGTCACTCAGTGGTTACTCTTGCTCAAAGACAGTTCCTCCTAATGGCTTATCTTGACTTCTCCGGCTGCAGGTCTAGTCCCTAATCCTGAAGAAAATCAAGGCTAATGGGCCCACTACCCATGTTATCATAACATCATTTCAGATATTTAAAAATAATTGTGTCAATTGCCCAGCTAGCAGACCGTCCTGTATTTAAAGGCCCCTTACTCCTCTGCTGCCTTTGCCTTCACGTCATTCTCATCACATTTCATAAGCACAGTGAGATGCCAACCCAGTCCTTCCAGCCCTTCCAATGCCTCACTTCCCCCAAACAAATCCACAGCCTCACCTGTGTCTAACTCCTCTCCCTACCCCAGGCCCCCAGGCCTGCTGTTCAACTCAGACAGTGCACTCTTTGCCCATTGGACTCTAAGCCAGAGAGCTCTCCCATGTATAAAGTTTGAGGAAAGGGGCTGAGGACTGCTCCCTCCTTAGTGACACAGGGTGTGGTGCCCAGGCATAGGACATGAGAGGTTTGTCCAGCCAAGTGGCACTTGATGCTTGTGCTCCCAGCAACATGCAGGGGCTGAGCCCTGCCTCCAGGGTGGAGGTGAAGATATAACAGGCTGAGAGCTGAGGCTTGGCAGGTGGCGCATCCCTGAGAGTGGGGTGAGGGCAGGAGAGTTGCCCTGAGCTCTCTGCATGGGTGGTGGCCAGGGACAAATGTGATCACCTTTCCCCTTCCTTCCTATTAGCCTTGCTCCTTGGGTGACACCTTCCTGTCCCTTTTTCTTTCTTCCCTGGTATTTGCTACTCCCCCCAATACTGCTGCCTAGAGGCAAAAGAGGGTGTGTATGGGGGTCCCAGGGTAAGACTCTGGATGGCAGCAGGAATTGGTTTATTCATGCTGCTCCAAATCTCCAAGGAGAAGATCTGAATCTTTATTCTCAATGCAATTTATGCCATGCTGGAAATGGCTCCTGAGAATGTTTTCCCCAAGGGACAAAGGAGGGAACTGCTCCTGAGAGCAGTCCTGCTCCTGGTGGGAAGGGCACACCAAGCAGGCAGCGACCCTTCCTATTCGTCTGATGTCACAAGTTCCAGAAAGGTGCAGAAGTGCCAGGGGTAGATGAGGAGGCTGTCAATGGAGGTGGGCAGGTCCTGAGAGGAGGAGGACCTGGGTTTCCTATTGGGCCAATGGCCTTTTCTGGGGCCTTTCCTCTGGATCTTCCGGAGCAGCGTTCCCCATGGGATCCGCTGTGGAAGAAGGGAGGAAGCCACAAATGAAGTCACCCATGGTCACTGGGGCACTACCTCCACTGGGGACTTTGATGGAACTGTCATTGGGTGGCCTATTCTTTAGCTCTCTGCACCAAGGGGCTGAGATTCTGCTGTGACCCCTCCCCATGCCAAATCCCATGATCAAGGACAGATGTTGTGCCTAA